TCCATATCACATTCCAATAAGTCTTTTTTTTTCTCTCTTTCCTTTTATATCAAAATCCCAAATCGGACATTATCAACATTCACTGCAACCGAAAAACACTTTTTTTTTCCTTTATGTTTTTTTTCCCACATCGGCAATGCCGTTAGCCAATAAGAAGTAGCCTAAGATTGTTCTTTTTTTCTTTTTTTTTTTTTAAATTACCCGGAAACCCTCACTGGGTCAGGACGCTCGAAATGTCTAGACGAATTTCTCCTTGAACTGTTCGGAGTAATTGAAATTTTAAAAAAATAAATAAATTTTTCGTCCCCAATCCACAATCTTTTAAAGTCACGTCATTTACTAAAGTATGTCATCGTTTTCAAAATTAACTATCAGAGGCGTCGCCTTCGGCGGTTAAATAAAATACGATCAAACGGCTTAGTCCTTCGTTTTCCTTTGATTTAACAGTAATGTTTTATGATTTATACAATATAGTGCGGCTGATTTTACTTTTCATTCGCGACAAATGTGTTTGTTTCTTTTTTTGTTTTTGTTAAAAGATTTGCCCACCTTGGTCGTGGAATGATTATTCAATAATGAAACGTTTGACAACTTCAGACGTCAGGTAATTTTAACACTCAACACAATGTTCTCATGTAATGGGCAAAGATATCTTACGCACCGCGCACAGGAGAGACGTTCATTGTTTGTGAACCAATAAAAACTTACATTAAACGTTCTTGACCGACCTCGCCGCAGCGCAAAAATCATGATTTAAAAAATATATATATATTTTGTTTTTGTATAGCTCATATAATGAAAAATACGAAGGTGGATCTCAGGATCCTGGCATTGCCTATGGCCGGATATGCGGTTCTTCCACCCTATACACAATCTCAGGATCATATTTGTCACTAAACATGTCACCAATCCTTCATAATTACCGACATATCACCACTTATGACACGCAACATCCAATTACTACAAAAGTATGTGTGCTGAATGGGAAGTCAAGGGTTGCGCTGGCTTTATCAGATGGATTATCCGTTGACCAAACTGTGTGCTGAATGGGAAGTAAAGGGTTGCGCTGGCTTTATCAGATGGATTATCCGTTGACCAAACTGTGTGCTGAATGGGAAGTAAAGGGTTGCGCTGGCTTTATCAGATGGATTATCCGTTGACCAAACTGTGTGCTGAATGGGAAGTCAAGGGTTGCGCTGGCTTTATCAGATGGATTATCCGTTGACCAAACTGTGTGCTGAATGGGAAGTAAAGGGTTGCGCTGGCTTTATCAGATGGATTATCCGTTGACCAAACGGTGATTTTTTCTAAATGTTAAAGCAAACACGTTGTTGTCTCTAGACTACGCAGTTGGAGACCGCGAAAAGTTTCGCCAGGAAGGCGTCTACGTACACCGTGCCCCAGGATGAAGAGCTGCCCTACCATCCCATGCTGGTGACCGACGTGATCCTGCAGCCGGACAGGCTCCTGTTCCAACCCGACCAGCAGGCCATCCTGCAGGCCATTAACGAGCTCATCAAGAACTGGCAGAACTGCGCCAAGGACCTGGACAACATGACCCCCGACCCCAAATTTGATCCTTTCACCAGGTCAGTTAGTCTGCTCTCTCTCTCTCCCCATTTCTCTTTCCCTCTTTAACTCTCCCTATATTTCTATTTCTCTCTCTCCCTCCCTCTCTCTCTCTATTTCTCTTCTCTCTAGTTCCCCCTCTCCTTCTTCTCTAAGTCTCTGTCTCTCCATCCCTCTCTCCCCTTCTCTCTCTCTTTCTCTCTCCCTCAATCTCCTTTAAAAAGACTTTGAAATGTGTGACTTCAAAATGTTTTTAATTTCTGTACTTGTCGGCTAGTAGCACATTTCACTGAGACACAATCTTTGAGTTCTCATAACCCCAAGAATTATTTCAGTTATCTCTTTGCCTGTGATTTTCTTTGTCTTTTTTTTCTTTTTTGTTTTCTTTTTTGCTATTTTGGTGGAGGTTACCCCCATCAATTTTGGACGAAGGTAAGCTGATATTTTCTCAAGAAATAGCATGTCTCACTTAGTCCATTTGAATGGCTGACTTAGTCACTTAAAATGTGTTTAAACGTTAAATTTAGCTCACATCTTAATAACGTATCCAATTATTTTTTACCATATTTCAATAATGTTTCTATTAAGTGATGTATATCACCGAACACCAATCCCTTATCGCCTTTCAGTCCTTTGATTAACAACAAACAAGAAGAGAAGACGTGCGGCGACGGTCCCAATCTGAAGATGGTCCTAAAGATAGACACCTTCTTCCAACAGGGCATCATCGACATCATGGTGAGTAGACACCTTCTTCCTAAAAAAAAGGCTTCATTGTTGCAATGGTGCTTAGACACCTTCTTCCAACAGGGCATCATCGACATCATGGTGAGTAGACACCTTCTTCCTAAAAAAAAGGCTTCATCGTTGCAATGGAGCTTAGACACCTTCTTCCGACAGGGCATCATCTAAAACAGCGTTCTCAACCTGTGGGTCGTGACCCCTTTGGGGGGTCGAACGATCCTTACACAGGGGTCGCTAAGACCATCGGAAAAACACATATTTATGAAGTAGCAACGAAAGTGATTTTATGGTTGGGGGGTCACCACAACATCAGGAACTTTATTAAAGAGTCGCGGCATTATGAAGTTTGAGAACCACTGATCGAAAACGAGGCGTCCGAGCTTGGACATCCCGCCCCACCACTAGCTCCGAAACCTTGCTACAAATTCTAATAGTAAACATTTCTTCGGCTTCTATGGGGTACGTCCAAATTTTTTGTAAAACAGAGTAGCTTGCCCGTGGTTGCCGCCGACTTTTACCACTTTGGTCTGGCTCTAAAATCATGTTTGATGCTTCTAAACTCGATTCCTGTGAAGTTAAGTATGGTTAATTAAAACAGATCCAAAAATATAGTTTTTTTTTTTTTTTTTTAATCAAATTAAATGTATCCTTTTACTCAGAATAATTTCTTTCCTCTCATTTAACGGTGACATCATCCGATCCTAGTTTACTTTGCCAAACCATGACACCCACACATGATATGAAAGCGGAAATGATAAGCACCAGCCCATGCTCTTTTCTCTTCGAATTTCTTTTTTCCCCCTTCGTGACCTTACCCACGTAGTGACGTCATGGTGCTCACATTCTCTCATTTTATTTAGGTCGGTGAATTTAGTGGGTTGTTTTTTTTTTTGTTTTGTGTATTGTTGTTTTGTTTCTTTAAAAAAAATGCCACAGCTTCTCATAGTGCAAGACTCTCGCTGTAAACAGGTGTGAGCGTAAAGCTAATAGCTCAGTCTTAACAACTTGGCCTTGACCACTTAGCCTCGGAGCCTTGGGAGCCTTGTTGTTTTTTTCTTTAAAAAAAATGCCACAGCGTCTCATAGTGCAAGACTCTCGCTGTAAACAGGTGTGAGCGTAACACAAATAGCTCAGTCTTAACAACTTGGCCTTGACCACTTAGCCTCGGAGCCTTGGGAGCTCAGGTCCAGGGTTGACATTTGGTTAATCTCACGGAGGTTCGCTAATCTCCGTACGTGCCATGTGAAATGATTCTTTAAATCTTTCACAAAACAATCTATTTTCAAAGGGTTTGCTGTTTGTTTGTTTCGATCAATTGTTATGGATTTTTTTGTTTTTCTCTCCTGAAACCGAACCATTTTGTATTTGATATAAGGTAAGGCTGCGACATTTCAAACCCAGGTATCAGAAGTGAGAGTTTGGGCTTATTAAAAAAAAAAATTAAAATTATTATTGTAGGGTTTGTAAGAAAACATTAGAAATCAAATGAAAGATAATCGAATGGACTATATTTTCGTAAACTTACGTCTTCAATTTAACTGAAATAAACTACCACAAATATCACCCGAATAGCATTAAGTCTAAAGGAACCCGGACATGCAAAGCCGCTATTAGGACCCGGGTAAAAACTGGGGGTGAGGGTGGCGATTTTGGACTTTGCATAGCTTAGGGCCTCAGCAAGTTTGAGTCCGGCCACGCCCCCCTCCACCCCCCACCTCCCGTTTGACTTGGTGACACAGACATTTACTTCGGATAGGGATTTCCAGCACTCTGGGTTTTCCCGTTTCACCGTGTGTTTTGTCTCAGGTCATATTGTATGACCGCTCCCAACCATGTCATCTTGTCCTCCCAGGACCCAGCACCAGATGTTTTAAACAATTTCTGTTAACTTTTGGGTATGCGGGGGGGGGAGGGGGGGAGTTGGTATCGACCTTTTGCCAATCTTGTATTCAGATAGAACAATGTTTTCGGGTTGCTACTGAGAAATGGTTTATGATTATATCATACTGTTGCTGACCGATGTTGTATGCCCATGTCGGAATGTTGCTGACAGATGTTGCATGCCCATGTCAGAATGTTGCTGACAGATGTTGTATGCCCATGTCAGAATGTTGCTGATAGATGTTGCATGCCCATGTCAGAATGTTGCTGACAGATGTTGTATGCCCATGTCAGAATGTTGCTGACAGATGTTGTATGCCCATGTCAGAATGTTGCTGACAGATGTTGTATGCCCATGTCAGAATGTTGCTGACAGATGTTGTATGCCCATGTCAGAATGTTGCTGAC